TCTACCTCCAGGGTGATGGTTTTCCCTGTGAGCGTTTTTACAAAGATCTGCATTCCTCCTCGAAGTCGCAGCACCAAGTGAAGCGTGGACTCTTTCTGGATGTTGTAGTCTGAGAGCGTTCTCCCATCTTCCAGTTGCTTGCCAGCAAAGATCAAACGCTGCTGGTCTGGAGGAATTCCTTCTTTATCCTGAATCTTCGCTTTCACGTTTTCTATTGTGTCTGAAGCCTCTACCTCCAGGGTGATGGTTTTCCCTGTGAGCGTTTTTACAAAGATTTGCATTCCTCCTCGAAGTCGCAGCACCAAGTGAAGCGTGGACTCCTTCTGGATGTTGTAGTCTGAGAGGGTTCTCCCGTCTTCCAGTTGCTTGCCAGCAAAGATCAAACGCTGCTGGTCTGGAGGAATTCCTTCTTTATCTTGAATCTTCGCTTTCACGTTCTCTATGGTGTCTGAAGCTTCTACCTCCAGGGTGATGGTTTTCCCAGTCAGTGTTTTTACAAAAATCTGCATATTTGATGAGTTGTAATCTGAAGAATAAAATGTACAAATATGTTCCTCTGAAAAATTACCTTTTTGAAAGTAATAAGATATGAATTTCCGTAATTATTTTTGTTAGCAACAAATGGATTTATTAATTTGTTTTGTGTTGTTACTGTAGAATAATAGTGTTGTTTCTTATTGCTTTAATAGTGTGTCTGTAGCCTGTGCGCATTTCAGAGTAACACTGGATATTTTTTCAAAAATATTCTGTTGAGAATATCGTACGTTGTGCATAGAAAGGTACACAAAATGGCGTCTTAACGAATTATCGAGAAATACTGTCGTTACGTAAAACAGAGAAATGTTACAATTGAATATAGTGTGTCAGAAGCAGAATTACGTGCTTCAGAAAAACAAATAGATTTTACAGTCACTTCTAATCAAAGGACTGATACGATTATATTTAAAAGTATAAGTATTGATCGTCTGGAACCTTCTTCCGAAACTGGAACAAGGACGATGAAACCACAGAATTTTACTTATTTTGTAATGATCCATGAACGTGGTTATCTACGTAGATATAGAATCAATATTTGTAGAATACTTACATGCGCTGAAATAATTTACAAGAATATATTTGCAACACAAGTCAGACCAAACAGTAGAAGAAACTAATCACACAAAAGCGTACTAAAGAATGAATCAGAATGAATACACACCATACACACTACTATACAAAGTAACGCTATGTGACGTCGATACCAACTTCTGGTACGTTCTCATGACAAGTTGGATATTTACTGATGAGAACGACCCTTGAGGTAAATCTAAATTATACATTGATTTAAACAAGATTCATCGAAACAGCTTACTGTATTTGTTGCCTTTAATTTAATTTTGTGTAATGATCACAAAACAATTGCAATTCAGTAAAATTGATATCACTTATATGTAATATAATAAATGTTTTAAAAACTTCAAAGTATTATTAACACTTCTCATTTGATTTACACTGTTTGTGCGAATAAAAATTAAACGAGATAGCCTTTAGTCGGACCACGACTAGTTATTAATAATTTAATTTTGTATCATTATCGTATTTTAGAAATCAAAAATTGTATCGTCCTTTCGACCTTTTGTAATTTTAGTTATCGTAGCTGCCAACATTTTCTGCCAAATTCTCTTGATCATTGAACAAGGAAAAGAATAATACGGTTTTAAAATATCTATTAAAATTATCTGAGTTTAAACGTTTGAAAATTGTTTTATGAGAAATAGTTCTTTCAAGTTACTAAACTAGTGTCTTTTTAAGAATTGTCTGTTTTAATGTTGGTAATAAATTCAAATTATAAATTATAAAATCGTACCACCGAATAGGTATAGGATTGACCTATCATCTTATGGTACTTCGTGTCTCTTGTTCTGAAATACCGATAGTGTAAAAAGTCAGGGAGAGTCTATTCATACTCCCATATAAATTATAGAAGCACCGGATATTTTTATTCCCGTCAAATCATATAGATACACGTAATATGAATGGAATATATAGCACTTCATTTGTGCTAATAATACTCAGAATTCATGCTTTATCGATAACGTTAGACGTTAGGTATTGTTACTAAAATGGTAACAGGGTTACGTAGTCCTATGAACGTGGGACAGAAAAAAGCATTGGATGATAGGTCTACTCTATACCTAGTCGGTGGTCGTAGATTCAATTATATAGTTTTAAAAGAACGAGTATAATTGACTACGGATAATTACCATTTAAAGATGGATATTTCTAGTGTTGCGTACGAAAGAAAGGAAAATACAATCTTATATGCTTCATTTCCACAGATAAATGAGTTATATTGTATATTTTGCGAAATTGATTTTATTGAAGTACATGAATCGTCAGCAAAATCAAATTTTCATTGGCAAACAATGAAATGCCGGTATCAGAAAGTCTTTATACAGATAATTATATTTTTTTATTTGGAGATTGCTTTCTATATTGCCTTAATATAATTTCAGACTACTTATTCACTTAATTTCTGACATAATCGCTTCACCAATCTTAGGCACAGAAAGATATATATTCATTATTACACATAAAGCATTTTTCGAAAGTGGGAAGTTAGAAAGAATTTTAAAATACTTAAAACTAGTGGTTTGTTAAACCTTTGAAATTATTATATATTTGAATATATAGTTTCTATCTATAATGATAGTACCTAAATAGTCATGTTTTTGTTTCTTTTTAACAGTATCAAGGAACTCGACCAGTTACTGTTGAAGTTTATAAAACTTGTCTTCTTTACACAATACAGTCTAAGATAGCTCCACTATGGAATAAAGTTGGTCAATATTTTCTTCAGGGAAAACAATTTTATAATTCTGTGGAACCAATTCCAGCATTAAAATTAGATGTTCTTTTGGAAGGTATTAAAATACTTACATACAAGTATTTATTAATAACATATGACAATATAAAACAAATTTTTAGAAAAAAACATGAGCTTACAACTTTATGCTGAAAAAGTTAATGTTCCATATATAAAGCTTGAAGATTACATTCCATCTTTTGTGTTATCCCAATTTTTAGCAGATCCCAAAGGATATATTGACTTATCTCATTATAAGTTACCATTTGTATATGTTTTACCAAGGTATTAAAAGTGTATTAAATTGTTAAACGTTTTCATTAACTTTTTTAAAGTAGACAGTAGTTTTCGAAATATTTTCAGTACCAAAAAGGGCAAGTTATTATCTGTATCTAAAGAAGTACCAACAAGATCTCTCTTTAAAGATTATGACCAACTTCGTAGACACTGGAAGAATATGGTGTGTGTATATTCATTAAAAAATGTTCATAATTTAAATTATTTCTAAGTTTATTGACAGTAAATACCTTACATTTCAGTATGGATATTCTTTGCCAAAAAATAAAAATGGAATTTTATATTTTGAAATTAAATTTCTAATACCAAGATCAAATATTTTTACTTATCCTAATTTATGCGTTGCATCTGGTCCTATAGATATTATTCCCAGTAGGGGTAAAGAGATTATAATTACACAATTCATATCTGATATGCTTGCAAAAATACCTACAATTTGTGGTAAAGAATTACAAATATTTAAACATGCTTTTCATAATACTGTAAGTAAAAAAATATTGTTCATGCAATATACTTTGAAGAACATACTGAATAATGAGAATTTATAACGCATTTCATATAGGAAATCCCAATTGCACACATACCATCTGGTCCGTTGTTCCAAAATAAAGAATTAAATATACCACTTAAGAGAAAATGTGATTCCATTTCAACTGTACCATTAGAATTTTCTGCTAGATATGCAGAAGAACTAAGAGAAAATCCAAATATTGCTTCTAAATCAATAAAAACACAATTAGCTAGGATTCATAAAATACACAATACATTTGTTTCTGATTCTAATATAGCAGACTTAAGTAGTAAAAATATCAGAGAAAATGAAAATGGTAATAGAAAAGTTATATGACATGCAAATATTATATAAACTTAAATTAATATAGTGACAAAACAATTTTTATAGAAGTTCAGTCTTCAAATACTATGCAAATGTCTGCTATAGAAAATACAAAACATGATTTCAATGAAGCTAGCACATCAAGAAATTCAAATGTTAATGTTACTATAACCAAAGATGAAACAATTTCTAAATATTTTAAAATCTGTAAACCACAATTTGCTATTAATACAAAAGAGGTAGTATTTTTTCTATTCTTTACAGAATTTTAATAATGGGTTTTCTTCTATATAATATGCACTTATATCTTTAACATAATGAAATTAGTTAGTACCAGATGGAATCCAAAAAGATTTCACATTAAAAGAGAAATTATTAAAAGCTAAATCTAATGAAAAAGAGAAAATGTCTACACAAGTAACAGTAAGTAATTCTTAGCTTGCGAATTGTATTGGTTTAATGAAAATAATATGAGATATATCCTGTTTCATAGAATCAAGATATTGATGTGGAAACAATGGCAAAAAATAATAACTTACATGAAGTAACAAATACTGTTTTAAGTAACTGGTTGAAGGCACATTCAATTCCACATGATTCTAGAGGAGCAAAAACACATCTCATTAACAAAGTAAAATCTCACTTAAGAAACACACAAGTGTTAAAACAATTTCGTATGTAAATAGTTAAATATTTTTATAATTAACAAACCCTATCATTATTGGCATAAGTACATAACATGCGCGTACATATAAAGAATAGTACTATTGTATTATTTAACAACATTATGTAAGGGAACTGTAATAAAAATTAAAAATGATCAAGCATTGTATAATAACATCATTTTCCAACTTCTATAGTTTTTTATTTCTAAAAACTGTGTATAAAAACAAAACGTTCAATAAATAAAATGACAACATAAATAACAGTAGTATATACATTTTTACATCATTACTTTGTTGTAGGCAATTATAACATCCAATATAGCTTTTCTCTCCGATTTCTCCTTTATACCAATTTCAATTAAGTCTTGATCAGTTAGGGTCATAAACAGTTCACTATCTACCTAAAATAAATTATATAATTGTGAAGATGATAAGCATGAAAAAAGAATTATATAACTTGTAATCATTAAGACTGATTCACTGTAATACTATTAATTTTATATGTATTTGTATTATTTTGCATATCACTATTTATAATACAAAACAAAGGTGTAATATATTTACTTCTTGTTCAAGAAATATAGGAATATGTTGACTCAATTCATGACGTTTTAATAGAATACACATTTTCTTTTCTTCTGAGTTCAAAATCATTCCCCTCGGGGGTGTTTTACAATGTGGTGGAGTTGGTGTATTTTCTCCAAATACATTTTCATCATTTAGGTCTGAAGGTACATATGGTGAACGTATAGGACTAAATTCAGGCGTATAAGTAAGAGTGACATTAAGATCCTCTTGATCGTTTTGAATATTTAAGTCTGGTGGTCGGATAGACTGTAATCTTTATAAAACGCACAACTGAGTTAAGACAAGACATTTATGTGAACACATGCTACATTCAGTAATAAAATATACCTCTGCAAAGATAGTTCCACAAGTAATTGTTCTTCCCTCACATTGTTTGTGATACTTACATCAAATTTATCACATTTATTTTGAGTAAAATATATGTTTGGAGATGTTGGTAGCATTCTATCAAGAGTACAAGTCAGTATTGGTGAAATTATGCTGTGCTGAATTGGATCTAAATGCTTGTTCAATAAATTCAATTTAGAAGGTTTTGTTTTTGAACATTTTTTGGAATTCACTATTACATTGTTGTTACACTCATCATTGCATGTTTCCGATGAGTGCAATACAAGAGTTGGTTTTATGAAAGGAGTCAAAGATAATACTATATTGTCACTTGTGTTTTCTTTGTCACATTCCTTCTCAATAACTTCATTTTTCAATTTCAAAGAATGCAGTTCCTCTTCTGTGTCTGATTCACTTTTTACAGAAATGTTGTCTGAGGTATCATTCCAGTAACTTTCTATGTCAAGATCTTCTGCCAAATTTGCAATTTCAGGCACTGTTGATAATTTCATCATGATATGTGTATATTCATCTAAGAAAAAAATTAAAAGAAACTATTAAAAATATATTACCTATTACATCATACATTTATATTAAACAAAAAGATACATATTGTCTTACTAATGTTTGAAACTTCAAACCCTAGATCCAATAAATTAAAAAATAAGTTTTTGTCATTTTTCATAGCGGCTATACAAAGTGGTGTAATATCATCATGTGCACAATTTAATAATGCAGATGGACATGCTTTGTGTATTATTTGGAACATATTTATATCTATTGCAGCTGCTAGACCAAAAACTGACAGACCTATAAATTGTGTAAAAGAGGTACAACGGGTACTAGATAGGCCATTGTATTGTAGCAGTGGTTTTAAATAAGGAGAATATATAAATTAATGTTACGTTCAGAAAGTTAAAGAAAATAATATATTTACCAAGATAAGTTGAATCATTTACATTAGCATTTCTTTCTAGCAGAAACTTTACTGTTTTCTCATCTCTATTTCGAACAGCTAGCATTAATGGTGTCCATCCAAATTTATTTTTTCTATTAATAACGTTCCTAGCACTTTCCTTTTGTAAAATTTCTTTTATAATGTCAAAACAGCCGTTTGCTGCACTTATGTGCAATAAATTCTCCCCATAGCTATTCTCTGTATTTAATGTATAGTCTAACAAAAAATTGTTATTATATAACATAAAATTTATTTTTACTATGCAGCAATGTATAAATAATTTTAATACCTTCCTTTTGCAGTGCTTTTATGACTTCTGCTTCTAGAACTTCTTTCGCGTTAGAATTTATTGATAGTTTAACGTTACCTTTGCCAAACATTGTTAATATAATTTTTGTTGAAACTCTGTTACTTTATCTATGATAATATAATATGCAATACATTCCACTTCTGCAACGCTATTGATAATTTAAAATCTTTTACACCATCAGAATTAAACAGCGAAAGTGACCTACAAGTACATTTCTCCTTTTTTTTCCTACTGTTTGTAAACGCTTATTAGCTAATTAATTGTTCGTTGTGATGTATAGAGTTTGAAAGTTGTAAAAATGTTAAAAGCACCGTATGAACAGCGATACTTAAAAATCATATTTGTATTACAAAGTGTAATGTTTAAATGCGATCTCCCTTTAAATAATTTCCGCCAAAATTCTGTTCTGTTTGACCAAACTTTTTTAGTGTAGCTGGTTGTAGTATGATGGCAGGATGGCAGCACAATCTCGTGAAATGTGACGTGAATGATAATTTCTAACAGCATTTGAATTTCATTTTACGCATCGTGTCTGTATTTGGATTCGAAAGTAAATTGTATTCTAAAATTTAAACGGTTCTGTTGTCAGATTTATTGCTATAACGTGTGAACAAGGAATCAATCGTGATTGCTGTAATTTGAAGTATAATTTACAGCGATAACTTTTAACCCAATGTAAGTTATTCTGTATTAAGTACATTTCCCTGAACTTTTTAAAGTTAGTTTTGCTTTTCGTTCGTACATAAATAGCTTGATTTTTCATTGAAGTATGACTGTATATTTTTCTCCAACATTTTCATTATTTTTTTTCATGGCAAAATCTTGTGCTAGGTTAACTTTTAGACGACGCCGTGATCATATTTTTCGGGGTGGGGGCACTAATTAAGAGAATGTATAGATGGGGGACACAAGTGTATAACGTTACCGTTAATGGTTAATTTTCTTGAGTTTTTACTAACTTCGTTTATACAAGCTGTCATATAAACTACATCTATGTATGTTAATGTTTCTATTCATACATAAAACACAATGGATTACTGACTTCTAGTAGAATAATATGGAGATATTGTCTTGTTAAATATTTCTTATGTTATTCAAAACTGTACTTGATTCACCTGTAACTTGCTGTTTAGAATGGGAAGCAGCGGCCAATTATATAGTCTCTCCTGGGGAGAGTTTAATTCTTCACTGGCTTCTGCGGTACAAGTATTAAGAGGTCATGGTGATCTGGTTGATGTTACTTTAGCTGCTGGGGGACGTAGCTTTCCTGCACATAAGATAGTTCTCTGTGCAGCTAGTCCTTTCTTGCTAGATTTATTAAAGGTGCCAACATTAATTATTTTTATACATACTTTAATACATTGGCAACTATTTGAAAAAATCTTTCATATATATTGTTGAATGATCAAAGAAAGAGTTCTTTCATTTTTTTTTATTGCTCAGTTGATATATTATTTCTATGGTTGGTAAAGTATTAATATATTTACTCATTATCTTTGAATATGCTACCAATTATAACTTTTGCTTTAATGTTGTGTTCATTTTATATAAATAGAGCACTCCATGTCAACATCCAGTGGTCATGCTAGCTGGTATAGGTGCAGATGACTTGGAATCATTATTGGAGTTTGTGTATCGGGGCGAAGTGAGTGTTGAACCATCTCAGTTGCCATCTCTGCTGCAAGCTGCTCATTGTCTTTGTATTCATGGATTAACACCACCTACTATATTAACTGAAGTATGTCTTACAAAGAAAATACTTGTAAATGGTTTTTATATATTATAGGGATTATATTCTTACTAAAATGACATTTAAATCTATTTACATAGAATGGAGAAGAGGTTCCAGCATCAGCTATACCAACCACAAATGAAGCCTTATCAAAGGAAACTAGTCCCTACTTTCCATTAAAACGAAGAAAGAAAAGAAGAAAGTCTTCTTCGTCTTCTGGGAAATGGCCACGCACTGGTAATAATGCTGATAATGAAAATAAGCCTACAGATGATCATAAAGATGAAGAAAATGCAGAACATGGTGATGATGCAGGTAAGAAATATTGAATTATACAGGGTGTCTCTGAAGAATAAGGAAATTAAAATTAAGTAAAGAAATGCTTGGCTGTATTACGGTATGATCAACTCATCATAATGAAACGAAAATTTTAGCTGTGGGTCTTGATTAGTTTCTGAGATATTAATAAAAAAGTTGTGTACAATACATTGAATTCTGCCTATACAGACGTGACTACTACAAGCATCTTTGCTGTAGATGTCAACGTCGTTACTGTTAAATATGCGATGACATAGTAGCGATGTAGCCCCAGAATCTATACATATGTATACAGTATAGCGTGTCAGCAACCGAGCGATCTTCACCGCTTGCGTGCGATACCAAGTGCGTGTAAAGCCCAAATAAATACTATTACTCGTGTGTTTTTTATTTTTAAAGCATTACTACTCATCTAAGTTGGTTAGAGCTAGTTAAAAAACAAAGAAACAAAAATACTGTACAAAGCATTATGTTTTGAGTTAATTAATATCTCAGAAATTAGTTAAGATCCACATCTAAAACTTTATATTTAGGGTTCTCTCTTCCTTCTTCCTCCCCTCCCACCCCTCAAAATTTCGTTTCAATATGATGTGTGGGTCATACCGTACTTTAGTCCAAATGCTTTACCAATATGTTGTTGAAAACTTATATTTCATAATATATGTGTCATTAGACAAATACTGAAGGCATGAGTATTTTAAATTTTCAGTATGATCACTATTTTCTCATATAGACAGCCCAAATGAGAGTAAGTCAAAGTAATTGTTACGACTGCTACTCCTGTTAAAGGGACCATCTTTTTCAGAGACATTCTGTTTATGAAGTAATTGTAAGTTTAATGATACATGTTGAATTGTAGTTTGATAATAAATACTTATTTACCAAAGTAAAAGGTAATATTGTTTTGTAATTATTTATGTTTAGTGTCATATTTTTATTTTTTTTAGAATTATATATTCAGCTGAATCCATCATTTCTGTTCTTATGTATATTCACTAATGAATTCAGTAAAAAAAACTTTAACAAAAAATGAAAATACGATATTACTTGTGTTCTGTGTCCGATATATTATTTCTCGTCTCCTCGAGTGTAAAATTACCATTTTTTAAGCAGTAATAGATGTTAAAAAACGGACACAAGCACAACCATCAATCGGGTTGAACTGCGCATAATCAATTAGACGACGATATTGCCTATTCAGATAGAACTTAAAAATTTCAGAAATAATCAGTTCAGCCCTGCATGGTAATACTGTGTTTGTGTCTGTTAGCAGCGAACGATCGATTGGAATATTCAAATCATCGGAGTTGTCATTCGCCGTGTGCTCAAGAAGCGCAACCAGTGTCGACAGAAAATTCTCAACCGGGACCGCATCAGGATCAGATATCGGATAGTGAATCGCATCTCCACACTTTAATGCCAATGCAGCCATATTCTCCATTGCACATACCACAATTTCCCGGCCCCCTCGGTATGGGCTTTCCTCCTGGTATACCACTTCCGCTAGTTAATCAGGGTTCAACTGCTGGTACGGCGTCTTGTGGTTTAGCCGGGAACATGAATTTATCAAAAATACGCGGTGCGTCTGATTGTCCAGGTGTTTGTCCGCTTTGCGGTGCAACGTTGCGGCAAGCGAGAAATCTGCGAAGACATCTGTTGTCCTCTTGCAAATATCGGTTTAGTAGTAATTCAGTTCAAAATTCGCCGGCTGACACGATGATGATAGAAGTGAAGCCTGAGGTCGAGCTGCCCGGTTACAATGACCAATCGATAGCCTACGGAACCGATAGCGGAAGTAGTACCTGCGAGCAAATAATTTGTAAGCCCAGTCCACTTCCCTCGCCGACGTCACAGGGACCGAATGTTGTTTCGCCACAAAGCAACATTACGTCGCCGACGATTGCCAGATGAATGTACAGAATGAATTTAAACGCGACAATTCAATACAAACAGAATTACTGTTTGATTCTGTTATCGTGATTCAAGGGCTATCACGTGTATCGTTCAGTGATTTTATTTTACACTGATATACATGTAGACAGGGGTACGTTGATACCGGAAGTCTCGAGTTTAGGTTTAGTGTATAAAATGCTGTGTTCAGGATGTCTCAGAGAATCTTAAATTAAGATTCTAACATACTTGAGAGGCAGGGAATTCATATATGGGAAGAAATTTTCATTCGAATAAAAGTTAGTTTCTAATGAAAGTACACAAGATGTATTTGTTCCCAGTAATGTGTAATAATACCTTTATAATGCAAGGTATATTATGTTTTCATTTCTGTTACTTTTCTATGTTTCAGATTATGTTTATATGATAATAAATGACGTCATTATTGTTTATTAGTTCATTGTAATTACTTGCATCATTTTTTGTTCCTTTGCATCTTCACTTTTTATTCAATTTCCATTACCATTATGTCTTTCCTAAACATGTTTTCTATGTAATAAAGAAAGTAGTAATGATTATTATTGATAGTAGTACAGTTCAATTAAACACTATCAAAACATAGAATATAGGTATATTTTATATTTCGTTCTAATAGAGAAATGAGTTTTTAATATACCGTTGAACATTATTCAAATATACATTTTTAATCAATCTTTTTTGTTCATTGAAAGTTTCTTTCTACATAAAAATATACAGATCTCAAATTCAATTTGCAATATTTTGAACGTTTGAGTCTTCTGATTTTAGATTTTTGTTATAGCTAGGTGGCTGATGGTTTAAGCCTTAAGCGATAAGAATTATTGCAACAACGAGTACTATAAAGTACTATAAAGCCTCGACTTCGAACGACATTTCGGTATCTGCAGATCCCTCGCTAGTAACAAAATTTAAGTGAGCATAATTACTTTTTATACAGTTTAAATGTACTTGTATGAATTCATGTTTTGAACTAATGTTTGCATTGTTAATCGAAATAGAGGAGAAATGGTCTGACGATTATTTTGAACAGTTTGTTATATTACTTGTATAGTTTATTTCACATTTTTACATTGATATTTTTTCATCAACATTTTTGTATCAAGTAAGATAATATTAATTTGAATCAATATACGAAAATCTTCCACGTTAGCGAGTAAGAACAGTATCTTAGGGTTAATGAGGATAGAGTACGCTGAACAATTAGGCATAGCAACAGTCGTGGTACAAGTATCACAAAATATTTCAAAATATTTTATATCTTTCGAATATTCATTTACGCAGTAATTATCTATGTACAATTTTGTGCAAACTGTTAAATTACACATTAACTCCTTGTAGTTTATTTTTCATTCTGTAAATAAATGAACAATGTTACATCAATGTCTTAATACGGTACGCGTGTGGGTAGAATTGAAAACTCTATCATTATTTGTCATATACTGTTTAGAAAAGCGATATAAATGGCATAGTTCAAAGTTTTAACTGAAGAAAAGAATTGAATTTACATTTTCATATGATTAATGTTGTAAAGAGTTCTATGAATTTTTTACTGGCGGAAAAACAAGTTCCTACGTATATAATTTATTCGTTTCGCATTTGTTTCGAAGTTATGTGTACGAAATGTATGTTTTGTGTTTTAACATTATCCTAATCGATATTAGGTAATAAAGTTTCTCAAGAGACTAAAGATTTATTTTCATCACGCGCATCACTATTCTTATAAATAAAAATGATTATATACAATAGTTTCTCAAACTGCTTTTGCGTAACACTGCCTTTTGTGCATAATTATCTGTTTAACTACAGAAAAAAGAAGAATATGAAAAATATAGTCAGTCAAGTCTCTGAGACTGAAGTTAAGTTTCTTTAGTTTTAACGAAATGAATTCCAGGAGATGGATTGTCTAAAGTACGAAGCATGTCCGATCAGCCTGCACCTTGTCCACTGTGCGGGGCGATTTTACGTCAGTCACGAAACTTGAGAAGACATTTAGAGCTTCTGCACTTCGGATTCGGCGGTAACAATAAATCTGGTGGCCCTATGAGACACCGGAGAACCGATAGAACAAATGATCTTGTACGATCCACATTAGCATTTATTTGTCCGCCGCACATGACCAGGATGGATCACTCAAGACCTGAGAATACCGATCTTTCGACGTCCCTTTCCATTGCTTCGACAGTCGGTTCCAGTGTTGCAGGTGAATAATTAGCTTGTATTACAGAAGTAGGAATGATTGATACAATTAGTATGCATGTATTAAAATTTGTCGTCAAAATTGCTCCAGTGAGTCATTCTAGGTCAATGTTGATTCAGACCATTAGTATTCATGTATTAAAAGGCGTCAAAATTGCTATATCGAGTCATACTAATTCCATGTTGATTGAGATAGGAAAGATGCTGGTCAGTGTCCAAGGGCTAAAATAAAAAAATTTTAAATACATAAATATGTATTACATAGAGGACATAGGGGTGTGCTAGTACTCGCATTTCGAGTTACATAATGATCGGTTCATTGAGCCGAGTCGATCGTTTGAATTATTCAATCTATGTACTTGAAACCAACGAATTGTTTGAAAAAAATGCGAGCTACTTAAACACCTAAACCGAGTTCACCTCAGCTTGTAAATTACGGGTACTCGCACACCCCTAATATCTAGTTATTTTATGATTCTATTGTGTACATAGTAAATCTCATTAATATCTGTTTTTTAAGATTACGTTTTCGAATAAATAATTAAAAATAAATTAATATAATAAATTCCATCTGTGTAATATTACATTCTTGCAAAATGTATGCTATTAATATACAGGTTAAATAATTAGTACAGGTATAGAATGCAATATTACAAAGACGGTTCGTACGCTACTAACCATTACTAAATTTTTATAAATCGATTAGATAGTGTTTCTAATTAGAAATAGAAAGGTTTACAGAACGTTCACTTATTTCTCCGGTATCCATATGAAGTTTTTCAGACTCAATTTTCAATAATTATTCTTCTTATGCATTTGTATTTAGGAAGTTTGATGGGGCCAAGTTCGAACATGCTATCGGCTGTTGATCAAAGCGCGAATCCTGCGCTGGTTCCAGCTTCAAGTTCGTGGGCTACTTCTATGGCCTCTGCGAATAGCGGAATATATTCGTCAGATGGTAGTGTCAGTATGCTAAATTGTTTGTCATCTTCGTCATCGTCTTTGCCATCTCTCTCTTCTCCGCACGACGTGTATCGATACGGTGAAATGTTGAGAGCCGGCATCGCTTATCACGAATCATCGAGACAGCACACGAAAGACACGCAAGAAACCGATGTTACTTAACCTTCTTTAATATGAAGGAAAAATCTTGGAATGACTTCGATATGAAATTTATGAAATGTTCTTGGTATAAGTGTTCGCAAAGAATCGAAATTGACCATATGTAATTGCTTATCGGTAGTTGCTCCTTCATCATCCGCCCTGGACAACGCTAATGAAACACTGTGATCATTTTGATGAAGTTTTTCTGTAAACTTTATGATGTTTCTTTTACTGGTACACTATGTTGAAGAGTTTAAGACAGATTTTATTTGAAATTGATAAATCGAATTCTTCAGAGATATTCGAAACTGCCCAGATATCACATGATGCCTAATAACGCCTTGAAGACGGCTTAACGCGCCTTAGACCTAAAACAGCCGTAAAATGGGCGTGTTCGAGGCGTCATGTGCTACCTGGGTGATAAATCTAGGATGAAATTTGAAGTCTCTGTGGTATCAGTAGACAGAAAATGTTAAGGGAAATCTAAATTTTTGTACAGTAATGTTTCAAAACCGGGAGCTGAACAGAAATGCATTTCCTCTATTAAGAGTTTTATTAAAATGAAAATAAATTGAAGACTATATTACATTCTGTTCCAATTTTTATATTCTTAGATCCTGCACGTTCGAGATATTTAGTGAACGCATCAAATTCGCTGCTTGATTTCATATATTATAGAAAACGGAAAAAGTGGTTAACTAAAAAAATGATCTGTTTCGCGTAAATAGGGTGCAAACTGGATATTATTAAATGTTATAATTTGTATTAGGATTATGAAAACCCGTTCGTAAAACTACAAATTGTTCCGAAATTGTATACTGCAACGAATGTGAAAATAAAGGTTGGAAACATGATAAAATACTCGATTTGATGGTCTCTTTAAAACCCATGGTTTCTTTTATTTCGATAATAATAGTTTTTGTAAAAGGTAGTACAAAATAGGATTCCAAAATACATATTCCAAAACGTTGAGATTATAAAATTCAGAATATATTTTTTATGAAGAGCTAAGTGACAAAAAACTAAAAATTGATATGTAGTTTATAAATGAGATGAGTACCTATTTTAGAAAAATATGTCTAGGGTGTGATAATACATAACTTATTAAAATAGTACAAAGTAAAACTAAACCAATAATAGAGTTTCAAATGATTATTCCTATAAATATTACATACCTATATGAAATAATTAAAAAATTCAATCTGTGTACAATTGTACAACTTTATATAGGAATTCTAATACGCACAATCAATTACCTTTTGGCCATTGGTGAATCTTTATATATAACTTTATTCATACATCATTTATTTACAATAATTTTATTTATTGCGAGTAAGTAAACAATAAAATTTGATCCAACAAGAGCCCTACTAGCCAACCCCAATGAATTTATTAAAATAGTCGAATATATACGTGACTTCTTGCACTTTATTATTCAGCTTCACGTATTCATATAATTAACAAAGATTTTCTACCTTACATTTAGTCTTAAAATAATCTAAGTTTCATGTACGATAAAACATTTACCAAAAATATTCGATCTTACATTTATTCTTCTAACTAGAGAAATTAATTTTAAATTCGCAGCCATTAGCTCGGTATTACCTTCAGTTTACAATACTTTACCGAAGATAATACCAATTGCCCGGGTCTCACCACGAGGAGGTTGCTGCGAGTGGAGACCCAAAGAAAGCTAGATGGAACCCAATCCCATCTATGTAACCGTAGTTACATCGATGGAATCATTAGTTTCATCTACCTCCTTTTTTACAAAGTCTTACAAATAACTTAAAGGTAACTGAAATTTAGA